AGCAGGTTCACCTGGCTCCTCCCTGGGCCCGGTGACGGTTTGGAAAGATGAGGAACTTCTTTTGTGGTGGCAGGTTAATATTCCTATAAATGTGTCATGTCTTGTACTTGGTGATCACTGGTGGTGTTAGGAAAAAAAAGAAAAGAAAAAAAAAGCTTTATATACCTCTTCTACGGTAACTCTTTAACTGCAAGTTTTCGAGGTGGGGTTGTGGCACATAACAGGTTGTTAAACCGTGCAGTGTAATCAATTAAAAATGTATTCCACAGATATAAATATTTTCTTTTCTTATTGCTGTGACACTATGTGTGATGGTAATATTTCTGAGAGTTTCAGATTTTGCACATATAATTTTATGCATTATCAAAAGTTACTGCTGCCTTGAAAGAAAATGTTCTGTGAAAATTTTTGCAAAAGCTTTACTAGTTTTTTTTTAAATTGTAACATTTTGTAAAGGCAGGAAATGGATTAAAAAAGAAACCTAGCATGCTAAATATATTTTTCAAAAAAGCAATAATTTTACATGTACATAAATGATGCTAACCTTTAATACAAGTGAGAGCAACAGTTTACTTAATACAATAATGGACTAGTGCTGTTTTTGCAGAAATGGGCTTCTGACACAGAGTTGTTTAAAAAAAAGGCAAACAGAAAAAACCTTAAAGCGTGAGCTTTCTGTTCTAACAGTTTTGGAGGGCGGGGGGGGGCTTTTTTAAAAAAATCTAGTCAGTAATTGGTTCTGGATGCTACTTGTTACTTGTTTTAAATTACTTGACAGGTTTTATTACTTTGCAACACTTGCAACAATGCAAATTAACTTTCTTACGTATTTTTTTTAAACTAGTTTTTCATTATGGTATTACACCAGGTTTATACCAGAATTCTCTGTAAGTCTCAGTGTAGTTAGGAATGTCTCTGCAGATACTTATAAAGTGACTGTAATTAACTTTTCTGTGAAGTTATTCTGAGGGAGGTTGCATAGACACATTCCACTGTACACCAAAAAAAAAAAAGAAAAAAAAAAGAAATATTTTGCTGTGTTACTTAATGATTATCATTTTGGGTTTGCACTAGCTTTCTTGGTTTGTTTTGTTTGGGTGGGGTTTTTTTTGTTGTTTCACTTTTGTTTTGTTGCTTTTCTGAGTCATATTTTCCATGAGTGAAAGTAATACAGTTCAGAAATGCACAAAAGCTAGTTGCTTAGCCTTTTTGTTTGTGTTTTAGTTATTAAAAACTCTTCTGTACCCAAAATGGCACAAAAGTGTAGTGTACATTTGTAATTTCTCTTTTTTTAATGTTTTTTATTCTTTTGCAAGCTGGACTAGAAAATCTGAGTTAATGTTTAGAGCCAAAAGCTTTTTTTTCTGGAGCTTTTCTTCCAGAATCACTGACAGAGAAACTAGTGCTGTCACTGCCATTACCAGGGTACTAATCAGCAAAGTTTACAATCATAATTTAGCTCCATGAAGAACAACAGTAGGGGAAATCAGTTTAAATAATTATATGCTGTGTATAGCACAGAAATGAGATTTTCAATTAATTAAACAAGAAATAAGAGTGGGTGGGGGAAAGCCAACCTTAAAGACCATCTGTTTTCAGAAATGAATCCCACAATTTCTTTTTTCTTCTTTATCATTGTATTGTATTGATTTGTTATTTTAGTTAGGCCATAGTATTTAAAATGAGTTGTGTTTCCTTATTTATTTAGTCAGTGGGCTTTGATCAGCTCTTCTAAGCAACGTGATAACTTTTTTGGCATGACATACTCCTGTAAAGCCCTTTTATGACTGTTACAGGGACTTTCTACTACCTCTACCGATCTACTGTTTCTTCTTCTTAACAGGTTTTTATGGTGTTGCAAGTCTAATGTAACTTAGACAATAAAGGGTTTGATTATCTACACTGCAGATTCTCAGTGTATCTGCCATCTCTCTCTCTTTCTCTCTCCCTCTCTCTGGTTTTTGTGTGGTTTATTATACCTAAAGCGCAGAAGACATTTTTTACTCTAGCTGAAGTGAAAGAAGACCTTCCTTCCCAGAGTATTTTTGTATCATGAATGTTGTGCACTGACCGAAAATCGAACCTGGAGAAAGTTTTTCCATGGAGCTAATCAGCTGCTACATTGCCATCATGCTGTTTGCATTCCTGAAATTCCATCTGTCAGAAATGCTACGAATAAATCGGTACATACTGCAAAACAGAAAGCGAATTAGAAACCCAAAACAGTTCTTAGTTTTGTATTTCAAAACCACTTAAAGTCCTTAGTGAAAAGCCTTGGCATAAATTGCCACACCCATCCTATAGAAGACTCTGCTTATGTGAAAACAGCTAGTTAAGAAAATTATCCTTTGGAAAATTACATCTTGTTGGTGCAAAAAAGTGTTCTGCTGTTAACTGACTGTCAGGTAAAAATATGTCTCTGGAGGGATTTCCAGATGTTGACTTGGTGCGTGTTTCGTGGTGATCCCTGCAAACGTGTCACCATCACCTAGGACTCGGCGGTGCTGTGCGTTGCGGAGTGCACGCGTACCTTTGTCACACTCGAAGCGTCAAAGCATGCGTGATGTTTTGAGTCGTTTTACAAAAGCGCATCCTTCTAGTGGGAGTGCATCCTCCCGTTGCTGGTTTTCATGTTCAGAGGGTCTGTGAGCAGGCCTATGTTTGGTTTTCTCCTTCCTTGCTGCGCTCCTGTGCTGAGCTACTTGAAGTGGATCTAAGCAGCTCTAGTGGGAGTGCTGGGATTCATTGACACATTTAGGGGTTTCTCCTTAAAAAAAACTGTAGTGAGAAGACCAGGAACAAAGCAAGAGGCAAATTCTTTATTAGATTCCTGCTACATAAAATGTGTTGGGTTAAAAGTAGAAAAGGTTGCATTTCGTGTCAAATGAAAATTCCCACTCCCCCTGCAAGCCAGTATTTTTTAAGCCAGCAGTAACATGCAAAGGACTGAATTGCTTAGAGTCCTCCTCCCTCGTGCTTGCTCTCTTCTCTTTTGCTGTTTTTGACAGCCCAGTAATTCAGGGGAATCCAGTGGCTGGAGGCAAAGCTGGTATGGATTCACTGGGAGCTTACAGCGCAAGAAGTGCCTGGTTCATCCCACTGTTTGGAGAGGAACTAAAATGAAGTACATTAATATATGTAAAAAATCCTTCCACTGTACTTTAATTATAAATTATGAAACAATTGTTTCTGGAGCAGCTAGGGGTGTAAAACAGTTGAAGATAGACAGTAGCTGTTGCAAATTTACAGTGATACCTGTAGTTTTTTCATTAGTACATAGTGCTGCTTTTGGGAGGAAAACAAAAAACACCAACGAACCCGAAGCACCAGAAAAAATTGCCTTCATTCAAAGCCGGTGGACAAAAGACAAACCACAGGTGGAAAACAATCCTTATGTACTGGATATAAACAAGTGTTATTTCCGAGGGACAGTCGCTACTGGGAGAGAGAAGAGAGTGTTGTGCAGGGAGTAGGAAGCAGGCGCAGGGTGGGGGATTGTTTGGCTGTGGCTTGAATAAAGGGATGAAGAGCATCAGCGTGACCCAGCTCTACGGGTTTGAGCACTGAGATGGATGTTGCCCACAGGGCCATAAAAAAAAGAGATGGAGAAAACATGTGAAAG